TCCAACTTTAAGCTACAATTTATTTGCCATGAGGGATATCACGTTACCTCAACAGATAACGTGAGCGTACAAAGCTGCAGTTATTGCATTTAATGCATTTATCCGTGTTTCACTGCTTCTTGCCTTAACTGGCTTAAGTTTGCGTTATTGTGACTGTTAGCTATAACAATGAAAGCAAAAATCGTAACTGCTTTACTTCGACTCACCCGAACTGCAAGAGGTTATCGCAAATGCAGCTGGCTGACGTTACTTTAATCGGTTGTAGTTAACACAGCGGTTCGTTGTAATGGGCCACCACTAATAAGTTTAGCCTTAACTAAGGTTACGGACTTGCGTTACAGGGACCTTTGTTGTTTGATAATAATGAATTTAATGCCTTCTGCAACGGTACAAAGTCGCCTCACGCACACAATAAGATAACACGCATATAACGGCAAAACTGGACAAAATCAAACTCAAAATTTGCGTACTTTAACGTAATAATTCGAAATTACCGTGGGAATAACCGCTATCGCACCGATCTGCAGTGCGGTAGATTGATTTTTGTTATTTTCGAGACTGGCTTTAGTTGCTGTAACGAGCGATGGTAACTGTTACGGGCTTCCTCAGCATAATGAACCGCGGTCTCAGTCACCGCTACCATGGAAGTCTAAGGTTACCGTAAGGGATTCGCACTAACGACACGCCTACCCACATATCGTTTCTGCCAAAATCTGCAGACTTATCCCATTAAAACTGCAGTTCCCGTACCAGATCACAGCTATAGTAGCAAATTACAGCACATTGAACCGATTGCTGCTGGGACATTATTCTTTAACGTTTCCGAATGCTTGCTAACGTAATGGGCTCAAGAAACCATAAAAGGATACGATACTGTTATGTAATGTTTTACCGCTGTGCTAAGCAAATTACCGTAAGCGTAACGTTTTCTCTCGTCAAAAATTTACGGTTACAATGACAGGTCATAGAACGCTTACGGAAAGCATATTTCTTGCGCAACATCCTGCTTTCACTGGTTGGTAGATAGCGTGTAGAGTACCTGATACCCTTCATTAAACTTATAACTGTAAAATAGATGGTTAAAACATTACAAGAAGAAAACCTTCCATATAAATACATTAATTATCGCATTTTTTGGCTCCCGGAAATAAGAGCCCCACTGCATCAAGCGCACCTCACCTAGCCTGTTTGAATAATAACACCTCCACTCGAAATTACGCCCTAGGGAGCCAGTTATAAATATAAAGCCTTGCAGGATGATAAGAATGCTGCAAATTGCCTCACAAAAGTTGTTGCAATTGTGAGCAAACAATGAACATTCTTTTGCAGATTTTCTACGTAACTAAATATATGCTGACAATATTGCAGGCACGATTAGGCGGTTGCATGTTCCGGCAACTATTATGTTCGCGTTTGCTAGAACAGAATGCGCAGTCTTATGAACTACGGTGTCTTTCCCAAAACATATCGTTCAAGAAACAATGACACCTTCCGAGATTGCGCCCTTCCCAAAATAAGCTCCCTGTGTCATAGCCTTAGGCTTATATGTACCCCAAGGCCGCAGATTCTCTAATTACAGTAAGAAATTTTATTGATACGTTTCGGTGGAATATTTTTTGCTCGAACGCAAACACAGTTTTCGCTACAACTTTAAGTTGCACGCTAGCGTTCTACATATCAAGTTTAAGCTTGATTTGAAGCAGACTTTATGTAGAGCCACTGTTCAGTGGTTTAAAAAATTAGTTAAATTATAAGCGGATTTTGTCTTACGCTCCCGTTTCGTGAGTGAGTTTGCTTTCTATCACAGCGGCAACAAACGAAGAAATAATTTGCGCAATTCAGTTGCCCGATGTTCAAATTTGCGTTATATTCTACTGCTTATGTAGTAATTAAATTCACTGTACTTTACATCAATTATTTGAAGTGAAATTGCACGTGTTTTAGAACTGAAATCGGTTAGGCCTTGTTGATTTGCATACCCACTTATCCCAGGAACTCTTTTCGATAAATATACCCCACTTAAACGAAAGCATCAGAAGGACAAGACAGATTCAGTCGACCAGTACAGAGTTTAAGTATGCATCTTTTCTTGATGGGTGTTACAGAACATATTCAAAATGATTAAATTTAATTTTAAAAAACTAAGAAAACAATTTAACAATAGACACGTTTAATTGCACTTTGCTCGCTTGCGTATCAAAGTTGCACACTTCGTTTGTGTTAATATTAGTAGAAAGTAAAAGTAAACTTTGTAATTTGTTTGTTGCGGAGGTTCAACTAGCTGCTAATTTTAGTTTAAAAATCAAATGACCTGTTTAATTTTGTCGTCCAATGTTTTCTTGAATGTCTGGCTTGGACGAAAAGGTTGTTTCGAAACGTTTCTTGCAAAGACTTGTTTTCATCGCTTTTGTTTATTCCACTGAATGTATACTACATACTTTATTGTATTCTGCTTACTTTATTTACTGCTTTACAACTTGATCACCTCTGGCTGCTATTGTACTAAAATTATGAAACAGATTTTTTGGTTTAGAGGGTAAACTGCACGAGTGATTCAAGGCAATCTTGACAGAATAAGCAACATGCCGGACGGATAATAGAAATGTGGAACGTTTTTATCTGTTGTTTGATAAACTGGGTGGATTTTGAAAAAAACAAGAACTTAAGATACCATTCTTCAGACCACAAATTGTAACTCAGCCATGTATATTAATTTGTCTCATGTTGCTGCTTTGGGGTGAGCAGTCGGTTAACTTGATGTAGGAGATTGTGTTCGCGACACCAACGATAGATGGTCCGGTGTACGACACGATCGAACGCCGCACCGTAATCATATCGCCGGTGATTGATTGTGTTCGCTCTCATCACAACCGACAAACGATAAACGCTATATGGTCGAGGGTTGCCTCCGAAATGAAACGTGAAATGTTTGTATCAGCCTTGGCGCTTCTGTTTGTGCGAAATTGGTTTTAGCTGCGAAGCCGATGAAAATTAAAATTATAAATTATTTTTTGACAACAAAGCTGCTAGATTTGAGCGCCAATGAGCGTTGTTATGAACATTTGAGTTAAAACAGGCGTCTACGGAGTTCGAGTAAAAAGTTCGCACTGAGCACTTCAACGACGCCGTAAGCTTTGCATGTTAAATTCAAATAGTTGCAAAACCGTTTGTTTTAGGACAAACTCTCCTCACTTGGTATGAAAACACTTACTCTGATTTACTTCGCTTGCTAATCAACAACCATTCGAACTTATTCTGATACCTCAAAAGTTTCGTGATTTGGTAACTGCAGCCGTTCTAATCGATGCATTCGCCACGAGAGCGGTTGCTATTTCTCAGAGCTGTAGGGTAAGCTTGACGATCTCTATGCTTTCTATCGTCAGTCGTATCGTCAGACGGTCCGATAAGGGTACGCCATGAAGACGTGCAAGAGCCTATCGTAAATCATACCATACATCGTAAGCGTTTTTGTGATTGCGAACACAATCTAATTGCTGAATTCTAACAAAGGTGTTTACCCAGTAAACGGAATAAATGGGATTGCGCACAAGTAAGTATATTTTGCAAAGGGCACAAGAAGAGCTTTACAAATGCTTTTGGGTCGACGCCTGAAAAACCTTCCTGATTCAATAGTTTTGTTGCAAGTGCAACTTTTGTGAGCTACATTTAAATTCATACCGGCCTTTTTTTCCTTTTCCGTCAATGTTACTTTGGGCTAAATGGTCAACTAATCAAGAGGAAGTGGCCGAAGAATTGCTATGATCACAAAGGTGACAGTAGCTTAGGTAGTGCCTAAGTTTTAAAAAACGGAGCGACAGTGGCCGAAGAGGGTGAAAGGGGTGACAATACCCGTTTCCAGCTTAACTGCTTACGCAGAAAGGCAAAATTTAAAGCTGAAAAAATATATAACTTAACGTATTAAAATGCCAAACACATACGATTGTAAGCGAATATGCAGCTTTGATATTGCAAGTTTCTACCTTTCTAACATGACGGAATATGTTGTACGGTAGCAGCAATGTGCGTACTTCTATAATATCTGTACTGAGGTGCTCGTACTTTACGGCTATATTAATTTGTACTTTCTGGCATTTTCTCTTTGCTCGAGGTAATACTTTGCTTTGCTAACCGGATGCGTTTCGCGCCTTTTTGCTAGCATCAGTTCGTTCTAATTCTGAGTATGGCAGTTTCGGAGTTTACTATTAAAATATATCTTCGGAATGCAATCGTATACTCGCTTCGCGTAGATCGTAGCGTATGCACATTATATTTAGTTATGCCACATTAAAATTATCAGCTCATTCTCTGTCGTTGAGTAAGATCGGTAGGGTTGATATTGCGTTATTATTTTATTTTTATTGCGTTTTATTATATTGCGTTATCGTATTCGTAACTCGTCTCTCGTCAAAATAAGACCTCTACTTTCTACATGAAAGCTTAACACCGCCGCCCGCTCGACCTAAGGGCGGTCACGACCTTCTATGCTAGTAAGTTTTAAAACCGGTTTGCAGTGTGCAGTTAAACAAATACAGTACTCTGTAGGAGTCCAACACCTATAATAAGTATCACTCGTAAGTACTAACTAAGTACTCAAAACAACACAAATTCATAAGAAAAACACTTCCTCAATGCTACTATTACAGTACAAGTACTCTGTACTTGTACTGTAATTTTGAGTCTCTTTTCTTTGCTGCAGTATTGTATCTGTATTACATGCATACGCATTACTGTTCTCGCCTCTTTTGTTAAATTCATGTCGTTACTCACCGACACACTCAAGTTTACCGTCAACAGTAATTGAAATATGGATAAAAATTAATAATATCGAAGTTGGCCCTAGAAAAGTTCATTTAACTCTTGTGTGCACCGGTTCCATGCAACACTGCCCGGAATGGCACGAATTGTAATCAGTGACAGTGTACAGAAAACGATTGCAAAAGCATTTTTATGGACTAAGAACCTTGGAGGATACAAAAAAGTATGTGAGCATGCTTCTCAACTTAACAGAAGTTGTGGATATTATTGTTTCTGACTGCTGGCGCAGAACAAACAGAACACCCGTGCATGGGGGATGGATTTTAATAAAAAAATCCCTGGTGGGCGACTCTGCCCACCGAAGCCAACATAACAACCCGCGTGAGAGCAAAAACAAACAACGCCTGCGCACACGCAGGTATGCCTTATACGCTGGGAAACAACAGACAGGAAGCCACGAGACAAAGCGAAGAACAAAAAACATCAGCTAAATCTACAATGCCTTCCCTCTGCTATCCGGGTCCCCTCCTGGGCGCCTGCTGCTCCCTGCTCCTCTGATGCAAAGAGTGGGCGGAAGGGGACATCATGTTGTTGCTGAAAATGTAACTGGACGTTGCCGCTTTTATGCGTTGCCACTGACCAGAGCAAGAAGTAGTGACCGTCCATGTTGGCCGATAATAATCTCCCGCAGAGAATCTTATTCATAAATGGTTATAAACCCTCTAACATTCTTAAGAAAATTAGTGTAAAAATATGGTTGGTAGATCCAATGAACAGCGATTTGCAGCAACGTTCAATATCAGTGAAAGACATTAAACTCTATTTTCCTACCATATTCCGAGCTTTTTTACGTACGCATAATCCATCCGCCGTGACTGCATCTTGATCATCAAACTAAACGGCAGTTCCAGCAACAGCAACACTGCCAGAACATACCAGTGACACTGTAAAAAGAACGGCTTCTCCTCGGTTGTCGAAGCCATCAGGGCCTTCTCAAACCCGGCAATCTCAAACGACTCGGTTAGGCTGTATTCTCGGTCCCGATAGCGGTTGGCGGCAACAAACTCATCCCGTTGCCCTTCAAAAGCCGCTCGTGTCGCGCTGTCGGTCATAACGAACTGCTTGGAGAACTTAATTCGTGTCTGCTTGAAAGCTTCGATATTATCCAGTTGTTGAGGACTGGAGACCTCTTCGCAAGAGGCATACTCGAAGGATTTATCTCCCCTCCAAGTGGTCACCTTCACAGTGTAGGTTTCCGTGCGGGTGTGGCGATTGCTTCCACTACCGGTGGTCACCGTGCGTGTGCGCGTCTCGTGGTGGTAGCATTCCATGTGCCATGCAATCTCCGCCTTTGCTACGACCACAAAAGTAATTGGAATCCAACCCATAGTCTAAGAACATGTTTAATCAAGGACACGTTCCATCGCAAACTGGTGAAGTTTTTAACGGCAAAACCGACGTTTACTCCGGTTACACAAGTAAACCGGTTTCTAACCTTCATTTAGAAAATCTTATTTGCGCTTACATGCGCACGCTTTACATGAATACAGGTTACTCAGTACAGAGTATCAGAAATCATATGAAGCAGAAGGGAATACTGTCCTAAATTCAGTAAATTTTAATTTTTCTGCGTCTCGATATTTTAAATATTTTAGTGTTTTAGCCCGGCTCGTGCCATTGAAAATTTGCTGCTTCAGCTTACTTAAATTTAATTGCTAGTTACAGAAAAAAATCGGTTACGGGCGATTTGATTAAATCGTACCTGATCGGACGCATTGCACATGTTGGTCAAGTTCCGCCAGCGACAAGACATTGCTGAGGAATTTCATATTGAATTATAGCAGCAAGTATCGATGAAATACCACAAATAGAACACTCCCAACAGCACGCCCCCGGCCCAAAGCGGCCACGTTTCATGGGTCAGCGTAGTGCCTGCCAGAACCAGGAAGACGATCCCCATGATAATACCGCACTGCACGACCATGCGGCAGCAGTTCATGGGGTTACAAAATTCCTCACAGGCCACTCTGGGATCTTCCCAGTCCCGTCCTTCAGGAGGGACAAACGCTGGCGGTTGCCCGGGCCCAAAAAGATCTTCATACAATGGCGGCAGAGGGAGATTAGCGGGTTCCTTGGAAAATTCTTCTCTATTCGCGTCAAGCAGCGGCATGTTGTGCGTGACCTCTTATACGAGGGCGGATCGTCGCGGTAAGCCTCCGTGGAGGTTTGCGGTATCTCCATATGCAGGTGGGGAATGTCATCGCCGGGATTGCCGAAGAACGAGTTAACAGCAATAGACGTTTCGGAGGGCGCGCTGGGATTTGGCATGAATACTGCCTGTTCGGAATGTGTATTGCGCTCAGATGGATTTGGTGCTTTTTATACCGTCGTTAATGCTTATGTGCAATTGTTTCTGCCAAAATGGCGAAGTCGTACTATAATTCTCAGGGAATCGGCGCTGACTAACACAGCGTATGGGGAGTACTGCCTAGCATTTCCACGAAGCGTTTACATGCACGAAAGGCTGGGAAGGGTTTGACGTTAAACAGAGTTATACTGACCCCTTTCTGGTATAAGAAAATGTTGTATAAAAATACGAAATGCAGAGATAAAAAGGCACTGAATTAAATGGTTGAAATAGCAAGCTCAGATAAAATGAGGGGATGAGAATATGCCGAGGTAATAACAAGAGTAAAGCAATAGCATTTCACCGGCATTTCACGGCTGGTATGTGTGCGCAGCAAACCTAAGAAACCAAGGAACTGGCTGCTGCGCGAGCGTACATGCAGTACGCGATGAGTCATAATAACAGACGGAAATATCGACCACTTTTGCTCCACTGAGTTGTTGTTATACAGCCGTCTCTTAACTTGCACATGCTAGCGGTCTGGCGTGACAGGAAGTACTCGTTCACATGCTGCGGGCAGGCAGTCTCGCCTGGTACTATGGCACGCCACGTTCGCTAATGTTGTGCTCGCATCAGTCGCATGCCAGTTGAACAGGCAGCCGGTAGCTTAAAATGTACGCTACAGAAATCCGTGTGTGATAATATAATGCAGGGGGTATGTAGCCACTTTTGCACCACCGCTGGCTCCTAGTACCAGCTTTTTATCACGTTTGACTTTTAACACCACGTACGGCAGTTTAAACGTGCAACGCGTTATTATGTTAACACTTAATAGTTTCAATTTCGTGTCTGGAATATTTGCCAATTAACAGCTATCAATTGGAATGATTTTGAAAATGTAGGAGGAGATTTTACTTACTCTTGTAAGCTGAAAAATACCTCTGAGGGTACTTGTAGTTTAAACGGGATATTTTCATCCATGCCGCTATCCGCACTGTCAGTTACATGCATGTAATTAGCCTATTTCAGAAGTACGCTACCATTTGACCCACGGGTGGATAGAGATTTTGGTTGTTTTTTCAGTGTTTAAAATTTTAACAGTAACGTAGTGTGCCTGCGCTTGCACTTGTTACTTTGACGGCTATTGCCTATTAAAATGAATTTCAGATTGCACGGTTTATGTCCCTTTCGGCTCCGGTTCCATGTGGAACCTTTGGTTCCAGGTTGTTTTACGTCCGTTCGCGACGTTAGCTGTAACCAAGCGTCGTGCGGTGACGCATAAAACTATCTGCCGTACGCGGATGCTTGCAACGGCTCAGACATCAGTGAATGGAGGTCAGCTTATGCTGCCCGTGGATCATTTTGAGCACTCAGACCGCCGACCGTTAGCAGGGTGGTCACGCCGTCGCGCGCACTCGACTCGATTAATTTTTTTTCGTTGCTGTACGTGACCAAAGTATAACCGCACAAAGATCTGAATCAGTTTTCATCCTGCTAACGTACTACTTATCTGACGCCGTGCGGTTCTATGTACGGAGCTTCTACCGTATGCAAGAAACAGGCTATTGACAATGCGGAAGCGGCAACGTGGCAGGACGGTCGCACCGGAAGCGCCATGTAGTATTGGGGGCCAAGTAGCCGCTATGTCAGGACAGTTCTTAAAAAGGATGAAAAATTTCAGATTATGGGACAGGAAATGCCTCAGGATGTCAAGATACTTCTTAACGATTATTCTGTCTGTATCGACGCGCCGTCTTCATGGCAAGCTTTTTAGCTTTTGCCAGCGCTTCGTGAAGCTATGTACGTTTTGAACCCATGACCATCCATTATGGTCACAACTCGACCATAACGGTTATCTGTCGTTACTATCCATTACTAGTGTTATTAGTAGTTCATTATGTTTATTATCCATTATAGTGACATCTCTCAGCTGTCGCCTGTGATTGGCTGTGAATACCTTGTACTGCGTACTGTACTACGCCAACCAAGAATTGCAATGCATTGCAGATTAAGTACTACGTATTCGGTATTTACAACAATGATAAAATTGTCACAATGATTTGACATGATTGACATGATTTTTGTATTAAGGGTCTATATAAAGAATACAGATGCAATTACGAGCATGTACAATTATGTACCCGTTTCCCTTTACCTGCCGCATTACTCCTTTGAGTAATGTTCGCGGTTGTTACCATACTGTAAAAGAGACACCGAAACTAACGGATTTCATCAACAATTAAACGCTGCAGCTATGCTTGCTACAGCAAGCTTTGATAAAGAGCTTAAGTCCAAAGTTCGCAAGTCAGTGTTCTTCCAAAAAGTTGCATTGCCACTGGATCCAAAGCCGGAATATCTGAGAACAAACAACCGCACTCAATTTATTCAGATATGCTGAGGAAAGCAAACAGTTTCTGAACAAAAGTGTACTCCTAAATGCGTAGCGAATTTTCAAAACAAAACTTACAATGCGAGACAACAACGGATGGCTTCCCAGTTTACAGGATAATCCAACGTCCGTATCCAATACTGATGAAGCGCTTGGACCTTCTGGAACAACTCTTGCGTAATCGGTGGACAGGAATCATTTGCCGCTTTTAAGAGTCGCTGAACCATCTGCTCGTTCGCCTCCCCAGTGCAGAAGGTCAAGCGCGGAATGGCCACCCTAAATTTCAGGTAGTGCGTTGCGACACCGGTGCTTCGCGCTGCAACGCGCGTGCACACGCTTTCTTGCGGCGGGATATAAACTCCCATAAAAATTTTGTCCATTTCAGCTGAAATGTCGTTGATGGTGTAGTTAGTGATAAGCAGCTGCTGGCAGACTGTGATCAGTTGACATAAATCGGTACATCTGGGACCTTGTTCGCTACACTCGTTGCCGATATCGCACCACTGGCTGGAGCTGGTGATGCCGTCTTCGGAGATGCCATTTTAACGTGAATAACAGACATTCGAATTTTCTTCAAGGTTATCAGTGCCACCAAAATCTTGGTTATTACCACGAAACTAGTGTCTGCGGTGAAATCGGTGAGGCAGAGAGTTTTGGTTTGTTCGGTCAATGCTTGATCAATACACCACGCAAATTTGTAGACCTTTGTGGGTCCTGGGAAAAGACGTGGCCCGGATATGGATTTGCAGCAGCTGATAACAATGTACTTTCTTGCCCCGGAGGCCGTCAGCAGGTGCCACCAAATGGCACGAACTCTGAAAATGCAAAATGCGGTGCCCTGTATGTAGATCGAACGTTTATTAAAATTTCATGATAAAACGTAATTTGCTAACCGGATTCGGGTAGCATTGACTTGGTTTCGTTCGGTCAAATTTTACTTTTTCTTGCTTTTTTTCAAGTATATAACACATTAATACCTGTGAGACGAGGCCTCACTAGCGTTCACGCCCGTGGCGCTAGGCGCTACGCCTTTGGATTACGGTCTGTGTTGTGTCTCGCTTCTGATTGGCTTACGCTTTATTAGTGGGCGCGGCATAGCACGTGCTGCACAGCGTTGCACGCTGTTGAATTGGCTCTACGTTTTACGATCGAGCTGCGCCGATCACTTGTTGATTTTCTGTTGCACAGACTTTCAATATTATTAAAAGTCAGCGATTTACGGTGCGACGTTTGTGTTTCCGCATAGCTCGCGATCCATATCGTATCGCTCGCTTCCACGGGATCTATTCCGTTTAGGTCTCCGTATCTGGATCACTGCTGGATCTAGCATTAGATGGTAGCAGAGCCGACAGCGGTTCTCTGATTTGATTTGGACCGAATTGATTTGAGTTGTGCCAGGCATATTTGGCCTGTTATTTGACGTGTTCACCGTGACCAGTAAGGCACAGGTCGATTCCACAGCAAAGCGCAACACCACAAGCGGTGCGAATTCCTCATCTGACGTGGATTACCAGCTTTGGTTTTCGGTACGGTATCTTCAGCGAAGAACCGTGCTGTTTCCTTAGCTGTGAAAGAGTACAAGAGTTCAGTCGTCAGCGTTCCTCGGTGTAGAGTCTTCAGCGAAGACCTACACTGGTGTCGCTGATACTCGGCAAGGATTCAGCGAATCCTAAGCCGTGGGGCACAAGAGCCGAAACGCCGAAAGGGGCGCACGGGAAAAGACAGATCAGACTCCACCAAACTGGTGTAGAGCGTAAAACTACTGTTGCTACGGCACAGCCGGCACAGTAGCCTACTGATAGCGCGAGGCACGCTACGGAACAGCGGCGACGCGGGAACGGAGTTGGAAGAAGAATCTGGATCATCTGGATCATCCTCCCCGCGGAACGGACGGACGTGGAACAGACGGACGGTTAACAGGTAGAAAACCGTTGTTAATTACGGGATTGGATAGTTGGTAAAATTGGCAATTTTTATTGGTCCGTACTGAGCTGAGCGTAGATGTAGGCGGAGTTTTGCACACGACGCGCATGTCTGGCCGTTGACCGTGACGTCAGGCAGATATAGATTTTAAGAGGAACGACGTAATTGGTCAGTTATCTGAGCTGTGATTGGTCGAAATTTGAACTGAATAACTTGAACTAGCTGACCAATCAGAACGACGTAAACAACCCGAATGGGGATTTTCCGTTGAACTTTAGCAGTAATGGGAAATTTGATCTGAGATGAGATAATTGAGATGAAAAGTGACCTTTAACTCGAAATTGAGCTGGAAAGTGACCTTTTGAGTTGAGTTGAGTCAGAAAGTGACCTTTGGGACCAGAAGTTGACCTTTACCAAAAAGTTTGGAATTGACCGGATTGACCTATTTAAGTGACCTTTATGATTCGAAATTGACAAACGGTGACCTTTACCGAAGTGAAATTGAACTGAATAGTAGTACAGCGATATCAGCAGCTGTAGGATTTCATTCGCTAACGTGTCCCAAACTGTAAAAGCTGTTTCGAAGTTTTGTCCGAAAGTGACCTTTTAGGGCAGAACTCTCGAACTTTTTTATCAAAAAGTGACCTTTAAACGGGACTTAGTCAAAATTTTTCAGTCGAAAAGTGACCTTTAATAAGGACTTAGAAAAATTTCGGAGGTACAGAGCGACCTTTAGGATTATTGAATAAACCATACAATAACGTGTGTGTGAGAACAATTGGCAGGAGCGTCCAAGTTATCCGATCAACATGGATAAAGACCAAGAGGAACCGACATCTAACAGCAGTCAGGGAAGCAAAAGCTCCCGAAGCTCACAGCAAGGTGCACCAAATCCGTACAAAAAAGATTTGTACCCGTACTCGCGTCCAGTTGGACACGAGCGGAACACTCGAGCGCCCAAGGCATTTGAGAAGAAGGATTCACGAGGCTCTGATAGTACTTATCAGAAGGCGCTCGAGGCGGTCGCCAATCAGGACAGCTCCAGTGACGACCAGAAACACACTCCCGCGCCTACAGCGGGAAGTGACCCGATGAACCAGACGAAGGTTACTGGGGAGGAGAAACCCACAGCAAGAGGAGCGGAACCAGTTGGAGCATCACAGTCGGATGCTACCACCAGTGGAATGAATGAGCAGGATAAAAATGTGAACCTGGCTCAAATGGAAATGGAAAAGACAAAGGTCACTGAAGAAGAACTCGTTGAACTGGGACTGGATGACCTTTCACTGATCGATAAAACCACAGGCGATGACCTTTGGGCAACTCCAATGGTCTCAGACGAATCAAACGAGTCCTATTTCACGGACGATGAAACGACTATGAATATGTCATTCCAATCCGCAATGAGACAAGCTGACCGCGCTGAAGGGATGACACTTTTTAAGGACATACCAGAGCATCTCATCGAACGGACACAAACGGGAAAGGTCATCAACGTACGACCGCCGTCACCGAATAGCCCCACGTCAACTGTGAAGAGGCGCGTGAAGGATCTGGAAGATGAACTCCATAATAAGGAGGACCAGACGGCGAGACGAAAACAGGAATATCAAGAGAGACTGACATCGCTCGAGACTCGGCTATTTGAGTTGGAACAACAACGGGGATACCTGTAGAGTACAGCAGAAGAATGGAAAGTGAAATATGAAAAGCAAGGGGAACTGGCCGAAGAGTATCTGAAAATGGTAGATGACAGAGAAATGGAAGGTCATCTTGCAGTCAGTGACCTTAACGAGAGCATGTCGGAAGAATCAGCGGAAAGGTCACGACACTTGGCAGAATTGAAGGACGAATGCGACTCACTGAAACTAAAGGTCACTGAAGCCGAAACGAAAAGAGATGAATACGCAACCAAACTCGCCGATGCTACTCAGCGGTTGTTGACAAACACTACTGAAGTCTTCAAGCTCAGGAATGACCTGAAGCTCCGTGACGAGAATATCGGGACCCTCCAGAAGGAGTCATACGATCACCAGAGAAGGGCTGATGAAGCCGCTAAGGTGGCAAAGGACTTGCGAGATCTTACAGCCACCGAAGGTGTACGGTTGAATAATGAAATAAGACAGGTGATGCAAGAGAACAAGGTGTTGAAGGAGGACAACAAAAAGGTCACCGATGAGATCAAAGAGTTGAAGGAAGCCGCCAAGACGATTGCAGAACAAGGCGCGAGGTGGGAACATGAGGCACACCTTTTGGATGAAAAGGTCACGGTGCTCGAACTGAAAGATAAAGAATGGCAACAGACGGTACATCAGAAAACACAGGAGATCATCAGACTCAACACGGAGCTGATCAATATGACCCAAACGGCAATGACGAGGGAAGATGAGGTCACCCGTACAAAAAACCAGCTGAAAGCGGCAGCTGAGGAATACACGACGTTGGAAAGGGATGTGACCCAGTTGGCGGAACACATTAAGAGGATGGAGAATGATACTGAAAAGGTCATCCAGGAGAAGACCTTCCAACTCCATCAGCACATGCTAAAGGTCAACGAGGAGAATCAGAATTTGAAAACGGAAAAAGAGGAATTCCAGTTGAAAGTCCGTCGCCTTGAAGATGAAAATAAGGCGCTCAACATGTCGAATAAACACAAAGATGAACAACTGCTGCAATATGGAGTCAGAACAGCAACAGTGGAGTCACCCCCGCCCAGTTACAGTAAGGCACATGAAACGGGCACGGGCAAAAGCTTCCACTTTGAGATGCCAAAACGAACTGGTACCGGTAAAGGAAGCGTAAAAGCGGAACGAGAAGGAGAAAAGGGCAAAGAAGACAAAGAGCCACCTTCGGAAAGTAACCCGCATATGAGTCGAGGTGACCCTTCACAATTTCCCTCGCACTTTGAAACAAACGTGTTCATGGATGAAGGGCGACGGGACAGACCCTCCAGCCGGCAGGAGCGTCCTAGGAAATCCCGTTATGGAAAGGCGAAACGAAATCAAAACAATGATGAAAGTAGCAAAGAGGAGGAGGACCAGAGAGCAGAAGATACAGCGGCGCAGTTGACAAAAGCGCTCAACTCGATGGCTCGAAAAAACACACTCGTGACCTTTGACGGCAGCCGCGACGCAGTGAATGGTTGGACACAACTGGTCAGAGATACCCAACGAACGTATCATCTCACCGACGACCAAATCCTAATCGAGATAGCCAGCGCAGTAAAAGGACCAGCGAAAACCTGGTTCGAAGGAGAGAGAGAGATCGCACTCCAGGAGGAAACAGAATACAAATTACGGAATGGATGGCCAAATTCAAAGATGAATATGGAGACCGTGATGAAGAAGTCCTCGGACTACGAGAAGCCATGGCAAGGAAATTCGACCTTGGAAAAGAATCGCTCGATCAGTTTTATCAGGCGATCATGAAATACAAGGCGAAGCGGATTATCACTGAAAAACAAGCAGTCGGTTTCCTAATCGAGGGATGCAGAGTGGACAGTGACCTTTATAAGGCACTGCGTACGCAACAATGCAGAACACCGACCGAAATCAAAGATTTTTTCCGACACTGGTCAGCTGGAGAAGAAAAATATAAAGCGCCAAAAGGTCAACGTAACCAAGATTACGTGACAATCCGTACCGGTCAAGTCGAAGATATGCCACAACAGAGAATGGCAGCGGTACCAGTTCAGCAGCCACCGGATTACCGCAGAGCAAACCTGGCTCAAGAAATAACCAAAGAGGTCACCCTTGCTGACGCAATGGTGGCAGCCATACAAGCGGCGGCGGTACAGGTGGCCGCTCAAGCGAGGCCAGTACCTCCAAATGCGGCTGCACCGGCACCACAGAATGTGGCCCCTATGAATGTCGGGTTACCACAACAAGGTGGGCGTAATGGAAATTTCGGTGGAAATGGATATGGAAATGGAAACTGGAATGGAGGCCAAGGAAACTTTCAGAATCAAGGTCAAGGTCAAGGCAACTTTCAGCCAAACAGAGGAAACCAGAACAATAGTCAGCAAAATCAAGGGTCACGAACCGAATTCAAGTTCCAGATGATTGACGGATGGGTGGCGAACAACGTTCAGATGTGCCAGTACTGTATGGACGGCAATCATCAGACACAGGGGTGCAAATTCGCTAACACATCACCAGAACAGAACCCGAATCTGTTTGCCTTCAACGAGTGGCAACGACTGCGCGGGCTTGGTGGTTGGCGTCTAGCGGTAAATAACGGATATGACCTCATCACCCAATGGTATCAGCACAAAGCAAACTTCCAAAACCAACAAGGGAATGGAAACGGGAACTATGGAAATGGAAATGGCGGTGGCCAGAACGGTGGCTACGGCCGTGGTGGCTTCGGCCGCGGCGGCTTCAGAGGAAGAAACAGAGGCTTCGGCCGCGGAAACTTCAGAGGAGGCCAGAACAATGGCGGCGGCCAAGGAAACTACCAACAGGGTGGTGGCCAGCAAAACGGAGGTGGCCCGGTGAACGAGCAAGCGCAAGGGAATGTGCAGGGCGCGCAACAAGGAGGGGCGCCGGTTCAGGGAAACGGGCAAGATCAGTAGGCACCGGTGAGCCTACTGATCGACCCGACCCTAAACCACCGGATAAAGGGAACGGAAAGGTCACCACTGCAGAATGGTACTGCAGTGAATGTGACCACTGCGACGGCTATATGGATGCCGTCAGCGAAAAAGCAAAGTGGACCGGCTATATGGATGCCGCAACCACAAGAAACGGCTAGATGGATGCCGCCACAGCAAAGAGAAACGGCTATATGGATGCCGTCATCGCAAAAAGGAAATGGAACGGTTATAGGGATACCGTTACAAAGTAAAAGGTCACCGCAGAATGGTACTGCGAGTGGAAACGCGCAACGGGACCAAAGGTCACCGCAGAATGGTACTGCGAGTGGAAATTGTCGTGACGGTAGCGCGACACTGCAAAAAGTGCAGCAAAACGAAAGGTCACCGTACTGCAGCGAAGAAGTGTTAGCGCAACGACGCGCACAACGGAACGCAAAGATTAAACAGGCGCTGCTGAATCAGAAGAAACCGCAGAACGATACTGCGCAAGAAGAAAACGAGCAGCATGCGAAATTCCGAAAATTTTTGGCAGAAAACGATAAGGCGAATGAGCCAAGTTGCGATTGTTACGGGGAGCCAAAGCCAAAGTTTTGGAATTGTTCAGAAGACGAAGAAGAGAAGCGAATAAGGCAAGAATGGATTAAGCAGAATATCACCGTTATTAGTAAAGATGAAAGGTCACCTTCTGTTGGAAAAGTCCAAGTTAAAGGTCAAGGAGCGAGTGCGAATGCGAAAGGTCACGGCGACAGCGTCGTGTTAAAAGGTCAAGAAACAGACTTGACACTGCGAACAGCGCAGCAAAAGAATGGCGAATTGGCACAACAGAACTCCGATGACTCACTTGTAGATGCAATAACGCTGCAACGGAAGGAAATCTGGCAAAAAGTGGCCTACAGACCGAATGGCAATCACGGGATGTGGATACCTGTGACACCGAAAGCAAAGCAGAAAGCAAGAATGTCACAAGAGGACTACTGGGACATGCAACAGTTGCGAACGCAATGTGAAAGAAAGCGACTGGAAGAGTTGGTTACCGGGAAACCAACCCAAGGGTCACCGAACCCAGTCCCAGCACTCAACGCAGAGGAATATAAGAAGACATGCGCTGACTGGAATTATTCACGTAATGCTCCGCCACAGGATAAACCGCCGAATTATGGAGAAAAAGTCCCCATACAAAAGCTGACAAACGGCGGATTTGTCATGAAGCGCAACGAAAGGTCACAGGACTTAGCGCAGAATGAACAAAAAGGATGGTCAAACGAGATGGCGCAGATGCAACAGAGTGGCGCAGTTGAAAGGTCACGGGACTTATCGGAGGCACTGCAAAAGGATGCCAATGACAAGTCACCAGCCCGAACAGACGGAATGTCTTCACAAATCGACCCGACGAAAACAAACAATGAAGTATCTGCAAAAGTGATGCAATGGATGACCGAAAAAGGATATGACATGGTTACATATGAAAGGTCACCAGAGGAGATGAGAGATGGCGAAGAAGACGAATTGAAGCGAGCTGACCAAATAACAAGTGAAGTCATTGAGAAGCTGAGAGATAAACGAAATGAAAACCGTAAAGAGGAATTGATCCATCAGACGATAAATGAAGTGACTAAAGGCCACATGGATAGCACAAAAGCAAATGAGCAAGTGCAGAATGTGGAAAAGGTCACCGATGGTAAAAAGGCTACAGAGAAGCGAACAAACAAAGAAAAGCCGCGAAAATATTACGATGTTCGGACTAACGTTCCACATCGGATTGATAAGCTGAGCGAGATACTGAAAGGTCATAGCACTCCAGCAAAAGGACAAGTGCTTTCCGATATGGACCCGGGACCAGTATCGCTTATCCCTGTGAAATGTAAGATTCACACCTTGAAGATTCAAAATGGAAAGTTACCGAAGAGAATTGAAGCATATACACACGAAGTGAAAGTGGGAGACATAAAGGTCAACGCAATGCTGGACACCGGCGCTGAGACGTCGCTGATCAGCAAACCGTTTTGTGAAAAGAATGGACTCCACATGCTCCCATTGCCACCAGACAGATTGGTGAAAATAAACGGAATTAGTGGAACGTCAGGATTCCTGGTGACGCACTACTGCGTAGCACCAGTGACCTTAAGAAAAAAGACTAGCGAACATTCGTTCTACGTCCGACCGAAGTGCGACGACGTACAGGTGTTATTGGGATTCGACTTCTTAGAGAGAAGAAGTTCGTACTGATGGATAACGAAGGGGAAGAAGAAAAAAGAAGATGACCCCAAACCAGTCGCCCAAGTTCAAGTCGGAAAGGTCACCGAACTTGTAAAACAGGAAAATGTTCAAACTGCTAATAAAACGCTAATCCCAGTACCAGAGGCACCGGGAAACGAAAAGAAAAAGATGACGCGAAAAGAATTGTCACCATTTGAGCAGTTGCAAACGATTCAGCAGGAGATCGAAAACACGTTAAACCGGACAATGCTGACACAAAAGGGAAGAGAAAAGGTCATCCCAGTACCAGAGGCACCGGGAATGACGAGAGTGCAGCAGAACGAGATTAGCCAACGGATAATCCCGGTACCAGAGGCACCGGAGAAGATTAGCGAAAGCGTAAATGTCAAAAAAGTCAACGAAAGGAAAAAGGAACCACTCGCGCCAGACACGGATGAGGCGATCATATTTCTCCCGGACGGGAGAAGTATGATCGCAGATGACTGTAAGCAAGGAGACACAGAAAAAGGTGTTGAAAAAGCTATCCCAGTACCAGAGGCACTGGAAATAAAGACGGCTAAAGTGGGGAAGGATAAAAAGAGTGAAAGGTTACGAGTTTTGAAGCGAATAACTGAAGAGGAACAGATGTTTACAAGTGAAATCCGCGACAGGGCACTCGAACAGTTGAAAGGTCACCGGAAAAACAAAGAACCAGAGGTCATCGTAATATCCTCTGAGGATAAAAGCGTGACTCCAATCGAATGTGAGGAAGATACCACAGTACACGAACAGCTTAAACCTCAAGCGAGTCAAAGGACATTAACTCCAGAAGAACGAGCCGGGAGTTGTCACCACGGTTACTTTGAGGATCCGTGCAGAGTGCAACCACAATGGGAATGCGCGGAATGTTGTGAAAATGCCTCCCAAGATG